GAAATCGCTAAAAAAAGAGCATAACTTGATGAAAAAGACGCCAACCTTGCCGAAAACAAAATTTTATTGTCTAAATGCTTATGTTATTATTAAGAGGAAAGACCAAAGTTTTTTTTATTTATTTTAAAAAATTTTTCCTTCTTTTTAGGACATTCTAAATTTTGACTAAAAAAACCTTGTTTCTATTTGTATCAGCGGAACTAGTAAATAACATAGACAATTTTTAGCACGTTTTTTTGGTATGACACACATTAATTCGAAAAATCGTGCAAAAATAGAAATAATTGTCGGATGTTAATGAAACTTTCAGGAACTATACACAGATGATCGAAATTATTATAAATATGTTTTTTTTTTTTTTATTAAAGTCATGGTAGAAATATTTTTTTAAATATTTATTACCCCCCGCCCCTAACTAATTTTAAGAAAATGCTAGAAATTTGATCGCATCGGGTTTAGTGATTACAATAATTAAAAGCACAAGTCTTTGAGGAATGCAAATCATGTTCTTTTTTTTGTTTTTAATTGGATCCGCAGTACCTGAAAATCAGCTCTGAATTATAACATACAAAACTCAATAAAACAAAGATATTATTTAATTTCAAATGCTTTTATTTGCTTTTAGTTGTTTTTATGAATATGAACATTTTCTGAAAGCAAAAAATTTTTTCGATGAAAAATGAATTTTTAATACAATTATTTGTTATTTCTTTAATTATAATAGATTTTACATTTAAGTTGTTAAAATATTATAAAATTAGTTAAAAGCCGCATCGGCTTTCCTAAGTGTCCTTATGAGATAGATCTTTTTTATCGCGTTGTAAATTGTATCATTTTGACTAATCAGAAGATCCCCAGTAATCAAGAAATGTAATTTTGTGCTTATAACTGAGCTTTAATTATAAAGTACGGAAGACCAACCAGAATATAATTAAGTTGCGTTATTTGAGTTAAGTATTGTTCTCTGCTGTTAAGGCCTTTAATTTAGCGAAATGTGTGGAGAAGTTAATTTGATTTATACCTACAAGTATCAGTATCATCTTATGAAATTTATATGATCTTATTTTTATATTAATCTCAGTTACGACATTTTTCCATAAATGAAATATCAAAATTAATAATAAAATGAATGCAAATACAAATAACAGTAGAATGTAATAAATGTACATAAAATTATAGTATTTTATGTACAATTCTGATAAAATTTCATAAGAAAGGTACCTATAAATTAATTAGATACCTTTCTTAGGAAATATGAAATTTAATGTCACTCTTAAGTCTTATTTTAATTTCTTTAGAATATATTTTCCATAAAGCATCATAAATGTAAAGGTGAAAGCTAAGTACAAAAAAAAAAAAATTAGACCGCTGAAAGTTTTCGTTAAAAATAACAAGGTAAATAATTTGTTCACTTAAATGTAAATTATTTCACTTTTCTCCTTCCGTAGAACAAATTAGCCTCATGAAATTCGTAAATATGTCATTCATCACCTGTCAAGAGACGTGAAATTTTATGACCTGCTTTGTTTTATTTTCAAATTACATCTTTTTGGCACAAAAGCTAAGTTAAATTTGGTTCAAAATATTTTAAATAAACATTATAATTTCTGATTTTCTTAAAATAAGTTTTGAAAAAATGATAATTGATATTTAAAAGAATTTCAAAGTGAGATTTCCAGTTTTTTTAAAATGGAAAAAATGGTCAATTTTGATGACTCAAAAAAAAACTAGATTTTTAATGAAAATTTCGAACGTGCTAGGAACTATTAAAAATGGAAAAAAATACCCAAAAAATACTTTGATCTTTCCTCTTAATAATAACAAACATTTAGACAATAAAATTTTGTTTTCATCAAGTTTGGCGTCTTTTTCATCATGCTATACTCTTTTTTTAGCGATCTCGTGGAGGTATATATATATATATATATATATATATATATATATAGCCAAAAAGCCTTGAAACAATGAAAATTATGAAAAATTTTTGTACTTCCTTACTCCTACAAAACAGAAAAATGCAAGAATGTTGGAAAACCTAATAAAAAAATAATTAAATCTTCCATGTCTGCCATATTTAATGAAAAATGTTTAAAAAAGGAAGGTTGCTGCCTATATATATATATATATATATATATATATATATATATATATATATATATATATATTATTAGAGTTGGTCGGTTTGGAAATTTATGTTTCGGTATCAGTTTCCAGCAGTTTTCAGTTCGTTTTTTCAATTTTTAATTTAGTATTTTTGCTTTATAAGGAAGCTATTCATTTTCTTGTGTAATGATAGCATTTCCAGTTGATATCTGATTTTGTTTGAGATTGATAAATTTGCAACTTAGTCTGTTCAACTCGCAACTTCTAATGTATATCTGGTCCAATCTTAAAAATATTCATATGACTGGAAAGAAAATAAAATAATCTTTTTAAATATGTAATTTGTATGTGCCTTTTTTCATTGAATTATTTTTTTACAGCACCTTAAAATGGTATTGCTTTGACCAGCTGAAAATGCAAAATGATTTTTTTTTCAAGACTAAATTTTACACGTTACTTTGTTTCGCAAAATCACAGTGATCAATCTTTATCAATAATCTTGAAATTGTACACTCAATTAGAAGATAACTTAAACTACAACCAGGAGTTATTTTTCCCCTAAATAAATTCGTTTTTATCTAGCGAATACACCTAAAGTTAGATGTCAAGAATAGTTAAAATCTTTTAATTTCATTTTTAGAATGTGCAGATTTCCAAATCTATGAGTATTACCTGTTCTTTTTTAGATACACATTTTAAAACTGAAATTAAAAACTATTTTAATATATAATCTTAAGTGTATTTGCTAGATAAAAGTTTAATAAGCAGAGCCTCCCTAATGACAAACTGTGCACAACTATGTGACCTGAAAAGTTCCATTCCGTCCTGTTTGTTGACTATGGTGTTGTTATTATCATGGATGTTACAATGCCTATAAAGTGAGAAACGTAAATGGAAGAATAAAGTTTTCTTCCAAGCACTCACATTACAAGGGCTTCTGTAAATTGTTTAACTTTCTGTTTCACTTTAATTGTATTAAATGATATGTGCATAATATTTTTTTCTTTGGTTGTTCAAGTATATCAAATAATTTAGAGAATTTAATGTGTCTACTTTGCACTTTGAAATGTTGAAGGAAAGGGACTTGGCCTGAGGAAAAACATGAAAAAAAATGTAACTTATGAAAAATTTTTATTCTTGTGTTTACAAACCAAATCTATGTCTATCTTTGGAAAACTGGGCCTATCAATACAAAAATTTTAAACTACCTCAAGTTTTAAACTAAAAATAAAATATTCCCCATTAAACAAATCATCATATTAAGTCATGCTAAAGATGCTGAAAAACCATTAAAAAAATATCTCTGTTTTCGTAGCAAAACATCATTGTCTTATGGCTGCTTTCCTCATTGCATTCTGGCTTGATACACTCTGTTATTAATATTATTTTATCCTTCCTTATTACCATTATTTTATTACTTGTTTCCTTCAACTTAATTGTTGCTATTAAGTACAACATTCTTTGATATTATTTTATGAATTTTACACAATATTATCATTATTTTTCTTTCCTTTGACTATGAAATCTTTTCTGATGAGACCTGAACTATCATCCCCAATCTCAAAAGCATATTGGAATTCTATATGTGCTTCACTTCATCTTCTGTAGCCAGATTGGTTAAGGCAACGTCCATGAAAGATTCTAAGATCTGGAAGACATCTTGTAAATAATGTTATAAATTTTTACTTATACGTCAAATTTTCTTAATTTGTAATCGGCATTAGATGAAAATTTAACCCTTAAAGTTTTATAAAGGTGAAATGGACATTCTAGATAATTTATTTTAATTTTTTAATTGTATATTAGTGTTTTGGTAAAATGTTAATAAATTGATTTTGTGGGGGGTTCTTGAAATCTGTAACATTAATTTTTTTCTTTTCTTGAAATCTGTAACATTAATTTTTTTTTTTTTTTTTTTACACCAGGTTGACCTTAATTCTCAGCTTGCGGTTGTCCGCTACAGTCCCACAGAGATCTCTCCTCTTGATATTGTTGAGAAAATTGAAGAACTTGGATTCATGGCACGTGTAAAGAATGTGGAGCCAGCCATTGCGCTGGAGGTCAAAGATCCTGAAAGAGAAATACAGTTCATGATTCCCAAGCAGTTGACCGTCTCTGAAAGAAAGACTGTTGAAGAAAAACTGCACCAGCTTTCTGGTGTGCATCTTGTTGACATATCATCAGCTAATGATAGCATGACGGTGTTCTGTCAAAGCTCTAAAGTCAATGCTCACCATATTATAGAAGAATTAGAGAAAAATGGTATTGAAGTCCAAGTCTCGAGTAATAAAAATGCAGAAAATATAAAGACTAAAACAAAGGAAGTTTTGATCGATGTGGAAGGAATGACTTGTCAATCTTGCGTTAAAACTATTGAACTTAATATATCAAAAGTATCGGGTGTAGATCATATAAAAGTCTCCCTTGAGAAAAAGCAAGCATTGATTGTGTATGATGAGAATGTTACTAATCCCCAGACATTGTGTGATAGTATTGAAGATATGGGTTTTGATGCTAGTCTCTCTCACAGCTATTCTTCGGACATTGATTTTGACAAGATTGCCAAACGAAATAGCCACAGACCTACTGAAAAACAATGCATAATTGACATTGAAGGCATGACATGTGGATCATGTGTTAAAATTATAGAAAACCATATATCAGAAATGAGTGGTATCATTAAAATAACAGTTTCTCTTGAAAACAAAAATGCTCTTGTGAAATATGATCCCACCCTGTGGGACCCCAAGTCTATTGCTGAGGCAATAGATGACATGGGATTTGAGGCACAAGAATCTTTTGGGGATAATCCAGTGGCTATAGATATGACAAAATCTGTGGCTATCAACATTAAAGGAATGAAAAATAAATCCTGTGTGAGCACAATTCAAACCAAGATGTCAGAAATTAAGTCTGTGAAGGACATCAAAGTCTCTTTGGATGATGAAAAGGCAGTCATTGATTATTACCATGACACAACTAACCCCCAGGAATTATGTGAAATTATTAAAAACCTGGGGTATCATGCATCAATAGCAGGTAAGCACTTTATATTTAAAAAGATGACTAACAGAAAAAAACAACAAAAAAACAAACAATACTTTCTGCCTTAATTTCTTGGACGTGGAGTTATCGTCATTATGTACACTATACTACAGGCAAAAAGTTTGGGTGATATCCCACATTTCTTTAGAAAAAACACCAGAACTTTTTTTTTATTTTTCTTGACCCTAGAACACTAACCATGGGTATATAATACCCAGTGCAAATTTTCCTATTTTTAATTCAAATTTTCAGTACCTGATTTTCTTACTTAAATAATGTTTTTCAGTTCCTATTAATGTTAACTCAAAGTACAAAGTTTGAAGTGACTGCATGTAAAATATTTCAAATAAATATTTATATTTATTATTTTTTTTTTATATTTTCAAAATCGGGTATGATATACCCATGGTTAGTAGTGGTGTAACTTTAATTGATGGTTAGTGTTCTAGGGTTAAAGTAAAAGGTAAAATTTCAGTACCTACAGTGTATTTGCTTTTTATTTTTCAGTATTTCTCCAGGCTCCTCTTACTGCCAAAAAGTTCAAATTTGTAGCTACAAACACCTTTACTAAATTATGAAAATGAGAAAGAAATGCAGGGTGGCCCAAAACTTTTTGCCTGTACTTTACATGCAGACTATTGTCTTTGTTGTTGTCGTTTTTGCAACGTTTCAACTGTTATGCTCTCCAACCGTAATCAGGTGTATATCGATTTGGGTAATTCTGAACAGAACCCATTATTTTTCTAGAGAGGTAGACTGTTCTTGTTCAACTACCCATGTCTAAGGATATCTCGTCTAGTTCTTATTTTGTCAAAGAGTATCCATTTCTCATTGCATGTAATGATTTGATGAAAAAATGGTTCTTTTTCCCAGGTGAATAGGAGATTTAGCTCTACAGAAGAATGCTAAGAATACCATGAAGCAGTTTTAAGGAAAAAATCAGGAACAAAATGGAATACTTGTAAAAAGAGTTGGAATTTCTGGGGTATATAAGGAAAGAGTGCTTGGATAATTAGATAAATTAGAGTACATAATTATAGCCAGAAAAGTAGTAGTAACCTACTTCATGAACTTGTGTAAAGATATAGCAAAATGGAAACTGGGACAGATATTAAGAGGACAAAGATTGCTTAATGGACAGGAAGCTGTGTAGAGTCATGATTGCTTCTGTCTTGAAAAGACATGGCACATAAAAAAGATTTTTTTTATAATCAGGATGAAAGTACTATGAACTTTAATCATTCCTATAGCATTTATCTCCCTTACACATTTTTTGATAATAATTTCTGATAAGGCAAAATAGCATCTTGGGATTAATTTTTTTTTACCACCTCTAGTAAAAATGTTTAATTTGATTGAATCTATATATATTTTTTTTTTATAATGGACAGAATTATTTAATCAAGCTTAATCTTAAAAAAACAGAAAAAAAAAGAAAGGGCTTTAAGCAGGCTGTTTGACTTCTTTACACATCTGATGTTAAAAGATGCAAAGATTTAAATATCTAGGAAGTGTTTTACCAGAGAATGAAACTGTGACCCTGTCATGTAATGTCAGTCCAGTGATATGGCAGTGAATGCTGGACAATCTCATCGCAGATGAATTTACTTGAGGCAAAAGAAATGTGGTTCTACAAAAGGATGCTGAGAATACCATGGACCAAAATTGTGAGTAATGAGGAAGTTTGTAGGAAAATGGAAGTAAAATGTATGCTTATACTTAGAATCTGAAAGAGACAGTTGACCTTTCTAGGAAGAAGGCCTTGGAGAATTTGACACTCAGATGACATATTAATGAGTAAGGCACATTGGAATAGCGAAAGATGCCTTCCAAAAGATAAGTAAAGTATTAAGAAACAGAAATTTATTTTTTAGAAACAAAGAAAAATGTGCTGGGTGAAGGTCTGCTATCTACTTTATAATCAGGGTTAAAGTTGTATGAACTTTAATCATTCCCACAGCATTTATCTCCCTTATACATTATTTGGTAATAATTTCTGGTCAGGCAAAATTGCATTTTGTGAATTATTTTTTTTTTTTTTTCTTACCACCTTTAGTAAAAATGTTTAATTTGATTGAATCTTTATATTTTTTATGATGGACAGAATTGTTAATCAAGCCTAATCTAAAAAATTAAAGAAAAACTTTAAGCAGACTGTTTGACTTCTTTACAAGTCTGGTGTTAAAAGATGCACTTTTTTTAGACAGTAGGTCGCTCAACCTTTGATTTTGAACATATATCTTCATTTTGCGTAACATTTTAACTTTTAAACTGCATTTTCAGATAAAAATGTCCGACCAGCTAAAAAAAATGATCTCATAGTAACAGGCAAGTTAGTCTCCACCTGAGCAGTCTAGTTGCACTGTCAGTTAAGTTTGTATTTTCTTTTTCCCTCCAAGTCTACGTGAGATGCCAGTCAAGATTGTTTTTCTTAAATTTTATGAGAAAAGCTAGTCATGTGATTTTCTTTTAATATAATAAGTAACCTACTATTTTATCTCATTGCTGGAAGTACTAGCATTTCATTGTAGTTATTTGCGATGACGATTAAGTTGTCATTTTCTTGTGGTGTTAACTTCTTGATCCTGTAGACAATTTTTTTCTTGCTCTGATGAAATATCTGATAACACAATAATCAGAAAGATTGTTGTTCTTAAAGCATTTTAGGTATGAGGAAACTTTATTCATTGCAACAGTTCTCCTCAGACATTCTTTCTGGGTTGGGTTGACACTTGCTATGAATTGTTGCTATTCAACTCAGATATAAATGTTGATATTCATTGACTTGATAATCGTTTTGTCCATGATATTGTGTAAGGTTTTTATTAAACTTCCATGAACTCTAATGATTACATCTACAGTGACAGTAAATTTGTGTAATAGTGGAAAAGATAAAACCTGATGTATTTGAGATTTTATCATTGCTACTGACCGACTTTATTACTTTTCCAGGTTTTCCTGATTTAGTACAAAATAGGATTAAAGATAAATATTTTTGATGGGAAGAAAAACATAATTGATTAAAAGAACATTAAAGTTTACAATTTTCTTTTTTATATATTCTTGGCAAACATGGATAAGTGTGCTCACAATAAAATGTGTCAAAAAAGTTAAGTGTTGAATACTGATACACTTGTTGTAGTAAAACAATTGCTGTTAACAGTAATCTAACCTTTTGACATTGATATTTTCTCTGCATATGGATTTGTTCATTCTAAAATGAGGAGCTATTAGGTTTGGTTGGTTTGTTTTACGGCATATCAACACCTCAATGGGTTATTTGATGCCGACAAGATTTTTATTGCTGGTAATATTCTTTTTTTTTTCAAAAATGAATTGCTGGTATTTTTTTTTTTTTTTTTTTTTTCAGAAATATATAGCAGGTAATTTTTTTTTCCCCAAAAAATGTATTGCTGGTAATATTTTTTTTTTCTCCTTCAAAAATTTATTGCTGGTAATAACTTTTTACAAAGTATTTCTGGTATTAAAACCTATTTTTGAACTTTTATAGTGTTTTGACCCCAGTTTGGGGGTTAACTATTTATCCATAGCTGGGATCCTAACAGGTGCTACCATCTGATGTCAGGGTGGACCTGGGAACACCAGCAATTAAGAGGTGGTTCCACGCTCCTCAAAACCTCCCAATCAGAGGCCTTGCTGTTGGACGTAGTTTATTGTCTTACCCAGGACACGGCCGTAGTTTATCGTCGAACCCATGATGGGTAGCTATTAGGTTGAGTTATAAATAATTTCAATTTTTGTTGATCAACTTTATTCTTCGAAAAGTAAAGTACAATTACGTTTTATTCAATTATATATTCTAGTTTACGGCCATATCAAATTGAAACACCAGTTCTTGTACGATCATTTAGATGTGTGAACTCAGTACTTAGATGGGTGATCACTTGAGAATACCAAGTGCTTTAAGCTTGGATGTACAGGTTGTGTAATGGATAATGGTTCAGAATTGCAAATCGCAGAGTCAAGTCCCAATTCCATTCAAATTCATAATATTCATTTATATTCAAATACCCATTGAGAAAGGTATGGATCCATCTCGTCTCCTTCAGTTATTGGTTAATTAGTAGGATATATCTATAAATCATTATTGTCACTAGAAAAAAATCTTACTATCTAGAAATATTTTGTGGCTTTAAATAACCTGCAAAAACACAATAAATCAGTTATATATTCACTATTTTGCAATTGACTTGTTGCCACTTCTCCAGGCAGCTCCTTGATACCTTTTGAGCAAAATTCTACAGATTTTTATGTGAAAAAGTTTATGTTGAAACTCTTGAACTTTAGGAGAGGTTTTCTGCTTCAGATCATTTTCTAGCAAACAGGAAAGTTATTAATCGAATGGTGCAAGGTCAGTTGAATATGGTGGTTGGGATAGAACAGAACAAGCGAGTTTTAAAACATTTTCCTCTGTTGTTCTTTTTATTGGGATGAAGAACAACATTTTTTCTTTAATCTACTGTACACACTGCTGGTCCTATACAAGAACGAAATTAGTGTTTTTTTTTTTTTTTTTGTTTTGTTTTTTTTGTAGTGGTGTTCACACTGTACAAGTACCTCAAGCCAGTTGAGGTAGCGGGTTACAGAGTTAGCTGGATAGCTTGTGCTGAAGATAACAGTTAACCCTAGACTTGAACAGATTATGATTGTAATGTTTGGTAAAGCAGCTTCTTGAGAGTCTGTTCCACAAGTCTGCCATTTGTGGGAAGAAGCTACTTGAGTGGAACTTACATCTAACCAAGGGGGGGATATGAAGAGAATGAGGGTGGTTTGCTGCAATGTGTGTGACATAATTGGTCTTAGCTGTGAAGGTAGCATTGGTGGAACTAAGGAGTGTAGTTCATTTGAGCACTCACCATAAAAAATAATTTGTTGCCTGCAAGGCTAGAGACAATTTTGGGTTCTATAGAGTGGAGAGTGTACTTCAAATTTATTCTTAACTATCATTCATGATTAGTAGTTAGGATAATACA